CCAACAGTGAGAACCCTTGGACCCAATGCGTTCTAACAATGGTATCTACTGTCCAATTATATAACTGCATGGAGCAGAGCCCATGTTGAGAAGCTAACAACACGTTCAGATAGTCAAGAAATTCCCCGTTACACCAAATGTCTTTAAGATCAGTTTTACATTAACCTCCCTTCAACGTCTATATCTCGCAAACGGTCTCCTCCCATAATAATTTCGGAATAATGTTTTTTTAAATGCAATTCTTGCATCTCACAACAGCGACCCGCCCATTTCATACTCATTGATTTGATGATATTGATAATATCTAGCAATTAGAATAAATTAATGAGCTCCTAGTTAATTATGTAAATAACTCCACGTCACTCTTCCTCGCTACAGATCCACTATAAAAAGGCAAAGTTTATTTCGTTACTACAAACAACTTCGCTTTTAGTAGGAGAAAACACAATAAGGTTTTGATGATAGTGAGCTTGATTGTTTATTGTCAATGCAGTCAGCTGAAGCGTCACGAGGGAACACTTCAAAATTCATCGTCACAAATTTGCTCTATATCTAATTACTCAGAGTGCAAATGAAGCCTCTGGAATGTCAGTCCGTTCGTATGGAAATTTCCGTAGCATTCATAAATAACAGAACTGCAAATACCATGATAACTTTACGAGGTACACAGGTTTCTCTCTTTGTATGTGGTAAATGCATTCTCCCCACAAAATGTCGCGTAAACCAAGGACGTTCCATAAAATCAGCGTTAAACTGGGGGATCCCCTTCCTGAGTTAATTTTCATTGTTCCATTTGATGACTGTAACTATATTTTGTCATTTAAAAGTGAATGATTTAGTTTCATATTCTTCAAAAAGGCGCTCTGAACATCAGACATTACAACGAGGAATGAGTGAGGCTAACCTTTATTTCCCCATACGTTCATAATCTGCCTTTCGGTTCTTTTTCACAGGGTACGAATTTATTTTCCATCTGAAAATCCCCAGAGGCACCAACTTCTAAGCTGTAATTCTTACCGAATGCACGAGGACTCTCGGTGTTCAGTTTTTAATAAAAAGAAGCAGCGAGTTACGAGCACACACACACACAGAAATGTTAGGTTCCGGGTTTGTGTCCGGTAAGCAGCTGACGCAATTAACAAACCCTTCTTCGCTGGTTAAGGACAAAAAAAGCAGTTGGCTTAGATGACAAGGAACCAGCGATGAAACTATGACACGAAATTAACTACACATAACCTCAACGACAAATAAAACATCAATTTAAAAAAAAATTCTCTCTTGCTTTGGGAGAACAAAAGCGAAAACCAAGTGCGAAGCAGAACGCGTGTAACAAAATATAAAATATCTGAGAGCACAAAATGGTTAGCACAGCTACAAAGCCCGTGACACACATTCCGAAGATAACCGGTTAAATTCCCGATCTTGCTGCCCTGAGCTTCTCATAGTTTTACTCAGTCCCTCCAGCCCAGTAATATCCAGCTAATCGTTTTCTTCTTTATACTTACAATTTGCCACGAACATAACTGCAGATGTTAATACTGGGTCTTAAATTAATCCAAAGAAACAGAATAAATGGTTGGTGTCAGGGCAGCATTCGTTCTTGCCCCGCTATAAAACCTACAAGTATAACTTTACATCCCTGTACTTCAGTCATTTCTGTTGACTTAACGTTTTGCTGTTCTGTAAAATATAAGGCCACTGAAGACACTATTCTAATGTTATATGCAAATAAGTGACTAAACGGCTGACTAACTTACCATCTGGCTGTTGTGTGACGTGAAGCTTTCACGGCGGATATCATTAATAAAATCTTCTCGGGCCAGCAGCCTCGTTTGCAAGGCTAGATTTCAAAACGAGGGCAGAAATGACCATCGAAACGTCGGCAGATTTTAACCAAGTAACGCGCTGCTGGACCGATAAAATTTTATTAATTACCATCTGGATAATTAATCGATCGGCTGATGGGTGACTGAGTGACCGATTAACATTCTGGTCGACTGTTTCCTACCAGAACACTAGATGATGAATTTATAGAATGGCCAATTGATTAACACACTTAAATAGAAGTTAATTTAAATTATATTAGAAAAATCAATTCCTACCTCAAAGAGAACACATCGTGTCTTAATTACAAAAATGGGCTTGTTAAAGCTGTTTATGAACATAATCGCTGTTTTTTCAGAGAATCATGCGAACCCAATGATAAACTACGTGAGGAAAACGCAGAGCTACTGAAAGTTAAATCAGGTGGCACATATAGTTACCATTGGGCTTTAAAAGACTGACTAAATAGTTGACTTATACCAACGTTTCGAAGGAAAATACTGCCATAATTTCAGGGCCGAAGGTGACTGCCACAACAGTGACATTGACGGGTACTGACTTTTCAGCTGACTACCCGACTCGATGGCAGATTAACACGAACAACGATCCCGAGACACGTTACCAAAACCAGGTTCACAAAACGCGGGCTTCAGTGAGGGCAGTCACCCTTCAGAAAGGTGTGGTGAGTCAGTATTCTTCATAAAAGAAAACAGCTGAGAGCAATAAGTGCTACCTGATAACGAGAACAACGTCCGTTTGTGTAGAAGCTTACCGAAGTCAAAAGGCTCGAGCGATGTCTTAATTCAATCTCTCTGAGATTACAAAGGTCAAAGACAGCATCTCATGCTGCTTCGAGCTATGGTTTGATTCCATGGGCTAATACAGTGCTTTTCATTCTGATATACTGCATTTAAACTGACACACCAATTCAATTAACAGGGTGACTCACCTGAGTGACATTTGAGGTTCTCACGGCTGTGTTCTGGGCTGTTACGCCGCGTAGTCTGGTAGAAGTTTACCGACGTTCCTGAGGTACTTGCTGCTTCCATCATCAGGGTACCAAACACCTCTAAAAAGCCGCAAACTTCTACCAGACTACAGTCCAGAAAGCAATATTACTTAACTTTTGTTGATACCTTAATTACCTACAATTAAAAATAATAAGGCAAAAATAAACAGGCTTCTAAATCAACCAACCGATTAACTACCTGATCAATTAAATGGCTGCTCAATTACTGACGAGACACGTAGAACAAGATCCTTCATCAGGCATTTAATAATTATTCATCTAATAAAATTCATTGCTATTATAGATGCAGAAGGTTCATCAAATGCAAAGGACCTTACCTTATCCTGAGTCAGCTGAATCCAGCCAGTACCTTCAGACAGTATTTATCGAAGATTCGTTGTAACACTCACTAATTTAGAAGTCAGTGAACTAAGAATTTCTTTACCGAAACGTGAAATGACTGAAACGAGGATAATTTCTTGAAAAACTGAACGAATAGACTATTAACTTGCCAGGCTTCTAAGGAAGGACTCTGTTCTGTGGAGGAAGAAGAGAGCAATTTTCCAAAATACCAAAACTAAATCATTATCTTTAAAAAGCCTACAGTATCAAACTGAATAAAAATCAATTTAGTCACGGCGGTAATATTCTGTGCTTACAGGCACACAAACCCGGCAAAGCAAACAGGTGCTACTGTATCGCTCACTGGATTCACCAACACACACACAGGTGTCCGTCCATCTAGAATTAGTTTTCAATCGAAGGCCATAAAGCATATTACGAAGTTGAATTAAATCATCGGCCTACGTAGTACACTGCCATTCCACAAAAAATAATACTTTAGCTGAAGGTGTTGGCATGGCAATTAAAGCCGAATACCTAGGCCGTGGTTTCGAATCCCGAGCAGATGTGCACTCTGCTGTGTATCTTTCGTGGTACTAAGCCTGCAATGCCCAAAGGGTGTGGAAGGAAGCTGTCATAGTCTATTTTAGGGTACATCATTTGAAGCTTTAGTAGCGACTAAACTCAAGAAAATCTTCTCGGGCAATCAGCCGCGTCAAATGGTTACACGAAGAGGCCAACGTTTTAGAAACCATCTCCGTCCCTATCATCAGGGTTCTGATATGACATCAGAACCCTGGTTCCCCAAACGGTCTTTTAGTGTAACCATCTGATGCAGGTTATTGCCTAGAGGCACTCAAGAAGGCCCAGACAAAGAAAACCCTCAGGGCCTATAATTGAACCCATGAACTTCACCATGACGATTGGTAAGTGAAAGACGCGAATGAGAAGGGGTGGCCTATTCCAGTTTGGATTTCCAAAACCTTCTTTGCAATCTTACTTTCCGCCTTGTCTCAATGTTTGTTCACTAAATGCAGTAATATTTCTATTTGTAACAAAGTACACATCTAAAAGATATACACGCCTGTTATTATACATAATATGCCACTCATATTATCACCCATCTCTGTGGAATTTGACTCAGTCTGATTCACGTTTTACGTAAAACATAATGGACTGACGCTCATCGAAGCCAAATTCGTCTACACCACCCCAACATCAACTCCATGAAGCCAGCAATAGTTCAGCTGGTTAAGATATTCCTTGCCTTCAGTTTCCTGTATGAGTTACTTGAAATTGCCTTCTTGCGTTATTCACGCTTTTTTAAAAACTGGGTTCTCACTCACTCTTTCTTATCGACTTGCAGGCCACCAGGTTATAAATGATGACCAAGTACTCAACTTTCATGGCAACTAGTTAAAGTTGCAACTAACTTATTATCTCAAACAGATTCACATATTAGGTCTACTCGTTATTTGCCTTTACAAATGTATACTTACTTTCATTAATTATCAACTTAAATTTAATGTTTAGATTTTTGTAACTAGTTTTTCATTATACAGAATGATACAGTACAAAAATTTAGTGGGCAGCACAAAACGCATCGGCGGGCCACAGGCTAAGAACCCATGCACAAAAGTTGCAAAGATAAAGCTTCAAGGGACATGCTGCTGACAACAGTGTTAGAAAAATTCGCACTCGATTAGTTTGCTATATGATAAACCGGCATGAGTCATTTCAGACCGCTGACAAGCGAATATGAACAGGTGTGATAGCAACTGGACTTAAACACAGGTTATGAATGTTATTACAGACTGCCACTTACCGGATCGTCTACTTCCACTTTTACTTTTTGATTTCCTAGGGTAAATAATTCCAATCTTACTTTGTCCACAACCCATAATAGTTTATAAGCGCATTGTCACCATTAAGATTTACAATTTAAAATGTCGCAGTTCATTATTATTGTTATTAAATAACATGTCACAACAAAAATCACGGGACAGTAGGGGGTTGGGGTGTGTGGAGGACTCTCGGGCACTCGCACATTTTTATTCAACGCACGTCACTGCACATGAACGAGACACTCAACTGAGATCACAAATTCAACGACAAATTCACACATGCAAATTCACGTGACTGAATATTCTTGCATATTTGCAACATGCTGTGAGGCCGTCATTTACAAACCCAACCGACCGCCCAAGCAGCGTAAGAACGACTGGGAGCAACATACGATAGCTGCAGAACAGGTCGAGCAGTGTTGCCAACACACTTATTCCACCACCAGATGCTTCGCTTACTGCACTGGTTGTAAAATGTCCCTATGAAGTTTAAGATATTTATTCATTTTTTTAATAAGTTCTTTTAATTGTTCAGAAAATGTTGAGTTAAATGACAGAATGATCAGTGTATATTTAATTATAAAGGATGTAGAAGGAAGCGATCTTGGCCTATTTAATATAAGGCCAACAAAATACTGTGGAAGGGCTGAGGAAAAGCACGAAAGCCATCTGTCAGGATAGCCGATATCAGGTCCAAGATTTCAATCCCAATATGAAACAGGGTGGAAAACACTTTATGTCAGCATTCAGTTGTAAGAATTGAAGTTTAAATTTCTGATTTTTTATATGTAAGGCTATTTACCATAGTGTGACAGTGATGAAATCAACCAACCAAGGGATCTCTTTTCATTGACACCAAACTTATAATACAGAAGTCTGCATCCACAACACAGGCAGAGGTACAGGTAGCATAAACCGTTCATATGTTTATAATGTTATTGCAAGTAGTGCCACTTTCTGGATAGGAGTTAAAAATATATATTTGCATTCTATTCTTCATATAATTGAGTGAAATCAGTGTAAGAAGTTGTCATGAACTGAAGAACTAGTTTCCAAAAGTTTCTGTAATTAATGACAGATATATGTGGTGACTTACAATTCATTCATCAACACTTAGGTGTTCCCAAAAATTTCTATAGAAATGCTTTTATAGACAGGTACAGGAACAAGTCAATATCACTTCCATCAGCTTAGATACATTTTCAGCAAACTGGTAGCAAATATTGCTGAAAGTATTAACAATTTCTAGGAATTAATCTTATTCCAGTAATATTGATGTAATTTGATGCTACTTCAGCAGATGCTATTTTATGAGATATTATTTTTACCAAATATGAAACAAGTTTTTTATCGAGAGAGTTAATTATTTGCTTCATACAATACTTTCACTTGGTTTGGTTAATTAAAATTAGTATTGAAAGATCCTTGCCATCTTAATTAATTTTTAGTTGAGTAATCTTGTTCTGTAACATCCTGTCTGGTGTGTACATTGTGTGTGTGTGTGCATGCACATTTGTTCTATGGTTAATATTTGTCACTCACTTTCCCAACTATTCAATATTTAATTGAATGTGACTTAAAATCTGCTTCTGACAAAGCACAAATGGCATGAAGAAATATCCCACAACATATATAAATTCTAATTCTTTTGCTCAGTTTTCATAACTCCTTGCCATAAATATACATACTCAAGTTAAAATATTTTAATACAGATACTCTGACACTGAGGGAGGAATTTAGGCTGAAGATGTTTGAGAACTAGGTGCTGAGGAGAATATTTCAACCCAAGAGGGGTGAAATACTAGGAGGCTGGAGAAAGTCATATAATGAGAAGTTTCATAAATTGTATTCCTCACAAAGTATGATTAAAATGATCAAGTGAAGGAAGATGAAATGGACAGGGCATGTAGCCTGCATGGGAGAAAAGAGGAATGCAAACAAAGTTCTAATGCGTAAATCAGAAGAAAAGATACCACTAGGAAGACCTAGACGTAGGTGGGAGGATAATATTAAAAAGTATCTCAGAGAAATAGGATGGGGTGGTATAAACTGGATTCATCTGGCTCAGGACAGGAACCGGTGACGGACTCTTGAGAACACGGTAATTAACCTCCGGGTTCCATAAAATTTTGGGAATATCTTGAGTGACTTCGCGACTTCTGGCTTCTCAGGGCAATTTGGGCTCCATGGAGAACGTAACTAATACAGATACACAATCAAACTACGCTAATCACAGTTGCTACCATGGTGTATCATCTGTGGCCATGGACAGCCTACACCATCAGGGCTTACCAACTTGACACACAAGTTTCTCCAGGGCACAGTTATACTGGTAGCATTGTTACGGACATTTTTGAACAGGTGACAACTACAACGCGTATTCCGGTGTATATGAGTATAGGAATGGTGGTATTAACCTAATGTACAGGTGAATTGTATCAACATTGTATATTTAGGCAAGGAATCACCTTAGTTTTCGAAACTAACGTTACATTCTTTAGTGGCATAAATAATGGCATACCTAATACAGTAAATTTGGAAATCTTTAGCTATGTGAACATTGACCTACTCTCATTAGTTTGAACTTTCGAGCCACATGGGTTGGAGAAAGAAGATAATGCAGATTTGCATTTTTATTTGCAATGATATTTAGCGGCTGTGCTGGAGGCGCGGTATGGCCTTACTGGAATGCACGTACACCCCGTCTGTTGCTGGCGTTCCCTACTCTAGTGTCAGTCTCCACATATGTCACTACATCATCTCACCAGATTCTTTTTTTTTTTTTTCAGAATTACCTATGCCGAAATTTCCAGTGGTGATTAACAGACGAGATACAGTAAAAAATTCTAGGTAAGATGTAGTTAAGAAAGGTACATTTTACTTTTATCTTCTCAAATCGCACTCAGTGATTGGGGTACATGATGCCATGTATTTAAATACACAAGGAAGTTAGGAAAGATGTGGAAGGAGATGGTCATTGCCTATTGTATCATGTTGGCTCCACAGTGAAGTCTTATCATTTGTCTTCTCCCTTGGCATTTTCCAGTCTAGTTTCTGTATGTATTTGCTCCATACATGTGACTCTTTGAGAAAGTAAAATATTAATGGATGTTTATTTTCAGTTCCAAAAAGGATATGGAGAATTACAATATAAATGAATCATACCTGGACATTCAATTAACTGGCAGGAAAGGGAAATCAGTATACAAGGAGCCACTAAAGTTCACAAAAATTGATGAAGTCCTGAAGAAGACTGTCATTACACCAGGCTTTGAAAAACTGGAATCTGTTCCAGCATACCAAGAAAGTGACAGAATAATGCAAAAGAAAAGAAAGGTCTGCATAGCAAAAATGTTGTCATTGTCATGTGCTTTCATGATATGATATTCTGGAACACGCTACATTATTTATTTTTACAGAAAGAAAGAGAGCGTACAAAAGGGAGCAACTGGTTCAACATGCCAGCTACAGAAGTGACTGATGAAGTGAAAAGTGACTTGGAGATTCTACAAATGCGATCTGTACTTGATCCAAAACATTTTTACAAGAAGAATGACCTCACAGTTTTGCCTAAATATTTTCAGGTAAGTATGCTTGGTGGTTAAAGTGACAATGAATTAATCAAGCTTGCTGCATGTCAAGTGCAAGTTGTTACAATGATTTTTAATAGCTTGATTGGTTGGAATAGTTCCTGTTCTAAACTCATTCAGACTCGACCATTAATTAAAACAGCAGTGGGTTTTTGACAGTTCGTACCCTTTTTGTATCACACTGTACAGTGCAAAGTACAGTCTTTTAATTTATTAATTAATTTGTGTAGGGCAATGATGGAAGCAGTAAGCACCTCTGAAAATTTGGTCCATTTCAACAACACTACATGGCAAAACATCCCAGAAGGGTCATCTAAATGAAATTTCTTTATTTTCTAAAAGAAACTTATTATTTACAGGTTGGTAAAGTTATTGACAGCCCAGTAGATTTCTACCATAGCAGGGTACCCAATAAGGAAAGGAAGAGAACCATAGTTGAAGAGCTTTTGGCAGATTCAGAGTTCAAGAGGTACAACAAAAGGCGATACAAAGAGATCATTGAGGAGCGAAGGAAGACACATTACAAAGCTCATGCTAATGCCAGAAAATTGAAACGCAAGAAGTGATCGGAGTTAACTGTGTTTATTGTCATATACATTTTTATTACTGATATGACAGTATGCTTCTTAACAAAATATATATGTATGTTTATATGCATCTGTGTGTGTATGCACACAAATACATTTTCTTATAACATTAAACAACATTGGTAATAACACACTTCCATGTCCAACTCCTGATGTGGTCTCAAACTGAGAAAATCAGTTGAAAGGAAACGCAGCTTCAGGCACAATATATATTGTAACAGAGGGTCCAATATACATTAAGGCAATCTCATTCTAAATTTAAGGACACAACATAGAACACATTAATGCTTTATATGGGGAAATTACCAGGCTGATCAGTTAAGACACTGAAAAGATGTAAGAAAAAACAACAATTTCTTATGGAAAATAAAATTAAAAGCTGTCTATGTAATTTAAATAATACAAGAAATATGAAGAAACAACATGATGTACAAGAATAAGTGAACAATCATGTTTGATGGTTTATTAAAATTAAGCTATATATAATTTGATAACAGTGAATGGATTTAAATTATAAAATAACTCCCAACATCACTGTGGTATAAAAACCAACCATTGTCACACACTTACAAAATCATTAGGAAGCACATCTGTTGCATCGGTAGTTGCAGTGTAGCACAAGTTGGGCTTCACTGTGCAATTATTTCAGAATACTCATAATCCTATTTCAAATGGGCACAAAACCTGAAGATTTATTACCCTCCAGTAACTTCAATAGATGCTCCATTCACATATGAACTTCTGTCTGAAGCCAGAAAGGCGATGACTTCAGCTACTTCTGCAATTCAAATAACAAAAAGTGATAACAAGTATTACTGTTCCACTTTCATTTTAAGTTTTGGTTTTTAAAATTTTGTAATTATTTTGCATTTTACAAAACGTTTAATAGTAGGTTCTACCAAACCACTGGGTGACATCACTGGCAGCAAGAGATATTTAATTTTACTCCATGTGAAACGTGGTAACTCACCTTCTGGCTTGCCCATACGGCCCACTGCTATGAATGGGATTATTTTCTGTATTACTTTTTCTGGGACACTGTCAGTCATTGGGCTCTTGATGAAGCCAGGCACTACAGCATTGCATCGGATACCAAATCTATGACATTAAATTGACAGACATACCTAGAAACTAAAACTTTCACTGTGAACTATAATTTCATTATATATACACATGTGAAGACTAATGTCAGAATATCCGATTTTCATTGCTTCCAAATTTCATTTAGAATACAGTGAGTAGCTTTAACCTCATTTTTCAAAAAAGAAAACTAAAATATATGAAATAAATAAGTAAATACAAAAATGGTTAAAAAGTAAACTACTGTGCTGTGAAAACCCAAGACAATCCTAATGACCCTTAATATTCAACATTCTCAATGGTCAATGATGCTCCACTGTCTTGAACCAAAGGTAATAAGAATATAAGGCTCTGAAATTCTTTGCATTAGGTCACAAGCTTGTTAGATAAACAGTCCAATACTGTTTCATGAATCTGGCTGTGTAATCACTTTCTAACACATGCATAATCATTCTCCCACCTCATTCAGCACCAAACAACTAACCATCAAAATTCAAACCACGTAGATCAAACACTCACTGTCCAAACTCCTTGGCGGCTGTCTTGGTAAAAGCTTCTACACCAGCTTTGCTTGCAGAATAGTTACACTGACCAATGTTGCCAGTTTTCCCAACAATGCTTGCTATATTTATAACAGAACCTCCATATACCTTTGCATCTATCATAGCTTTCACTGCAGCTTGAACCACCAGGAAAGTACCCTACAGAAAGAAAGAAAATTAATATCATAACAAATGCTACTTATTCTGTTAGTTTCTGAAATTCAGGCTGTTGATTGCATAAATATATGTCTAAAAGAATAACCTACCTTCAAATTGACATCTATAACTTTCTGAAACCACTTTTCATCCATCTTAAGAAGGAAGTTATCCAAAGTAATTCCTGCAGAATTTACTACCACTGATGGAGGCTTAGAATAATGTCTGATGGCATCACTGATAGCCATGTCAACACTTTCTGCTATGGACACATCAACACTGACAGAAATGTGGTCATTACACCTAACACCTGCAACACATCAGAAAGAAATAAAGGACTCTGCATAAATACACTTTTTCCAAAGTTAAAAGTGTAACTGACATGTTATTACAATATTTGATTTATAAAGCCCCCCAAAACAATTTATTCATTCATACCATCTCTAAACATGTATCACAGAATGCCTGTTTTATTTACATTTGTTAATTCTGGTGTAAATACAGACATCTGTGGATGAACAGAATCTCTACATTAAAACACTGTAAATAAAAATGGTAAGTGACTGGTCACCACATTATAAACATATACCATACCGCCAGAGCACGAAGCTGACCACTCTCCTGTATCTACTACCAAAGTTCCAAAATTAAGAAATTGTGTAGCTTTACCTCCACTCCACCATACATCATTAAGGCTTGGTCCTTAGGCCCAGGGACAACTTTATCTGAAGGGTATATAAATATTTAAATACTGGTGCTCATGATTCATATAAGATTACAGTATTAAGGGATATCTTCAAATGTGACAAGCCAGTTGCATAATTTTAAGGCCCAAGATGGATATGTATAACACTGAGTTATATAACATGGAGGACTTCAGTATATATCATAATCCCTTTTACACAATCAGCCAAAGACAAGAATCCATATATAAATTATGAGTTGTGCTCCATAAAGAGGAAGCAAATGGACAACACTATCTGTCCAGGTTTCAATCAGTTTTACCTGAGATGAGGCCTTTTGTTTCTTGAGCTGCTATCGCATTCTGATCTGCAGCAATGACCTTTGCTCCTTCCCTAGACAGTACTTGACACACAGCACGACCAATCCCACTGCCGGCGCCTCAAAGGAACAAAATGGAATTATATGAAACTTGGGGTTATCATGGTGGTAAAAACTTGGACTGTGGTTTTTTAGGTTATGACTGTGTCATCTTGAAGGCTGTTAAGGTTACCAGTATTTTGGAGGAATGCATTCCCTCGATCTTTTGGGAAGGTGTGAAAATGTAAATGGTGCATTACCATGAAATGCTGATTATCACCTACAAGACTGTACGGCATAACCCATAAGACCATAAACCAAAATGGAACAATATAACACAGTGATTGAAATATATTTTATTAATTTTACTCACACCATATGATGCTACTAAAAACACACTGGGAATAATAACTAAAATATCAAATGATTGGAAACAGGGAGCTTACTGAAATAATTTTGTATGATATCACCATTTACTTCCCAGTCGGTATTTGGGATTTTAAACGAATTCCCCGCCATTCTTGGCAACAGTTTTCTGACTATAAATTATGAAATAGGCAGCCTTAGTTTACGGAAGGGGCTCCTGTAACTGTTGCATGATTACTTAATATTACACACCTCTTCCTATTTAATAAGCGCTTGGTTGCATAAGTTGCCACCCACCTGTAACAAAAGCAATCTTCCCTGCCACTATTCCTCCACACATGTCTGATTTCGTTTGAATGCTGGCTTGAAATTTCAGAAATTGCTGTCTTCATCAAATATGAACTTAGACTTTGACTAGCCGTTATCGGCACGCTGGATTAACAGTCTTCCATAGTCTTTAGGTTTAAAGGTAGACATTAAAGCTATTTGTATTAAAAACAGAAATCGTCCGTGGCAATGAATCACGATATTACAATTGTGCAATCTGTTAACGTGTTATACATTAATGTATGTAATATTACAATCTTGTAATGGGGCATGCTGAATGAATAAATAAATAAATAAAAAAATCCTCTGTCACTACCATATCCACAGCCTTTCATACCAGAATCATTCAAAGCACAGATTATACAGTAAGCTTGGTCATGTGGAGTCGACTGTGGAGCGGGGTTTCGTTAGTTGTGTTATACACAGAACGTGGAGTTTTAAATATTTGTAATTCAAGAATTAAAGCTTTATCTGTGAATGTAAAGTGCGGGGCTAAGTTTTCTAAAACCAATGCAAAAAATATATACATGTGTGGAGCTCCAGAGAACGGGAGGGTGGTTATTTCAAAACTAAGGTTATATAAATCATTACATGTATTTGTTTAGTTGTTCATTATCGATTAGGGAATTCTAATATAATTCTTGGACTTCTACAGTTCTCCTGAATGTACATGAAACTGTAATTTATTCTTCGTAACGTTTGTACAGTATTTACAGGTCAGTGAAACATGCAACCAAATAAAAGTGCTTAATGTACTGGTATTTTATACTGGAGCATCAAAATGACCATGAGTTGGAAATAACAAAAGTTCAGTGTTTTGATTTCATGGACCTTTAGATATCTAAAGGAAATATAAAAGCTCCAGCACAGAGTGGGTTTCTTATACCTTCTAGAGCTCTAGAGTCATCAGTTTACATTATTTTGGTTTACTTTTTTAACATGAGCAAGAACACATTACTCACAGAGAAAGAACTAAGTCCAATATAAAGCCTTTTGACTTGATTCCCCAGCATCACTATGTTTGGAGTTTCCTTATGTTGCATGACTGAAAACAAACTTGTAGAATAAGGGTTTCACAAGTAGTGTTTAATTGAGAGAGTAAAAATCTTTTTATTTGCCCATGGTGGGTGGATGAGCATATTTATGGAACTCTGCCTTTAATCTTAGCAGCCATACCCTGATTTCCCCCTCCCCTCCAAAAAAAACAAAACAAAACAAGAAGGGATCATAATGTATTGAGCAAAAGGAAGAAGAGCTTAAGGAGAGAGATAAGCAAGAAGGGATCATAATGTATTGAGCATAAGGAAGAAGAGCTTAAGGAGAGAGATATTACATGAAAAGTAATGGGATGTCATTTCTGGCACAGAGAAGGATTGCCTTTTTTTGTTATTACATTTTTATACAACTGCCCAGTTAAGTGTTTCTCTTATGTTTTCAGGTATTACTGTGCCAGTAAGATGGTAGGAGAAAGAGAAAACCACAGTGAAACCATTTTAAAAATAGGAACACACAATGGAGTTTTCCACTGTGATGAAATATTAGCGTGCTACATGCTGAAAAGAGTCCCACTGTATCAGAATGCAGAAATTGTAAGAACACGGGATCAGCAAACTCTAGATACGTGTAACATTGTTGTAGATGTTGGAGGAGTATATGACCCAGTTCATCATCGTTATGACCATCATCAGCGTGATTTCAACGAGACAATGAATTCTCTCAACCCTGATAAACCATGGAAAACGAAATTAAGCAGTGCTGGGCTGGTATATCACCATTTTGGGGATAAAATAATCAGAGCTATTCTTGGAGATGAATATGGTGATGATGCTGTCAGAAGTATATACAATCAGGTGTATGAATACTTCATACAAGAAATTGATGGAATAGATAATGGTGTTCAAATGTTTGATGGTGAACCGAAATACACAATTACAACAGGCCTAAGTGCTAGAGTTCAGAACTTCAATCCAGCATGGAATAGCGCAGGTCAGAATGAAACTGAGAGCTTCTACAAGGCATATGAATTGGTTGGCAGGGAATTTGAAGATAGAGTAAAATTTGTGGCTACTATATGGTGGCCAGCCAGACATCTCGTAAGACAAGCCATGGAGAACAGATATAAAATTCATCCTTCAGGAGAGATAATTGAATTTCCTGGTGGGAAAGCCATTCCTTGGAAAGAGCATTTGTTCCAGCTGGAAAAAGAGTTGAATCCTGAACCCAATGTGAAGTTTGTCCTGTTCAGTGACAGTAATGGAAATTGGCGAGTTCAAGCTGTACCTAGAGCTGCTAGAAGTTTCATTTGCCGGCTGTTTCTTTTAGAAGAATGGCAAGGGTTGCGAGATGAGAAACTGTCATCAGTATCTGGAATTGATGGTTGTATATTTGTTCATTCAACAGGTTTTATAGGTGGTAATAAGACACGAGAAGGTGCACTTGAAATGGCTATTAAATGTTTAAGAAAGAGAGATGCTGATTCTGTAAATGTGCACTAAATTGTAATGAATTTTGTGAATCTCATGACAAAAAATAAATATATGAAAATGTTTTCTGACTTTATGTATACCTTCATGTAAGGAAGCTACAACAGTAAACTTTAATTTTAACTGATATCTGGTGTTGCTAGATGTGTGTTCATTTATCAGACAGTTAGTTTTAATATCTGAGGAATGAATAACAGTAGTAGAAATATTAAAAATCAATTGTATCAGTATCAGTAAATAGTTCCTTTAAAATTGCTTAAATGAAAAGAGAAACTACACATCTGTTTATATTTGATAAACGCTAAGAACCATTTTCATAAGATGCCATTCATACATACAAATAGGTAGTTGTAACTCAACACTATCTAATGAAATGGGTAATGGCATTCTGCAGGAATACCAAAATTTCCAGTTCTGATTAGGCACTTTGAGATCATATTTGTTCTCAAATTTTATTTTCCACCAAAATTTCCAGTTTTAGGTTCTGATTAGGCACTTTGAAATCATATTTGTTCTCAAATTTTATTTTCCAAATTAATACACTTATGTTAGAACAACAACTGCATTTCATGTAATTGTGTGCTCAGTCACTGAATGCATCATGTTATAAAATGGCTGTCAGCCTGGAGATTCCTGATAACTAGCAGAGATTCTTTGAAGTTTTCCAACATTTTTAGGCAAGTCTCAGGTTTCACCTAATGATGACTCCCTCCCGTCCCCAAAATATTTGAAGTTAAGAAAGTCACTTAAGGTGTGACAACTTCTGTTACTTATGTGCTTTAACTGTTCAAATTGGTAAAGAAATTGTTACATGGAGGCCCACACTTATAGCCCATCCACCCTTGTGACTATATGCAACTTTTATGGAAAGGTATTTTTCCTTGAGGGTGTTTGCAACATTTTGGTTGGGAGTTCATATGGGAGGCTTATATATAGATCTAAGTATAATATGAAGGTGTATTTAAATTAAATAGAATGTGAGGGTGTGGACTGGACTGAACT